TGCTTAATGGAGAAAGGTCTCTAGTGTTATGTCGAAGGGGTCAGATGGAGCCATCGGTTTGCATCCAGCAAGACATTTATTTTTCTGCAAGCCAATTATAGATGCTAAGATTGGAGAAAGGTGAAGTCAAGATGTAGTTTTATTAAGCGTCTGAAAGAGTTTGTGCTTAATTAGAAAGAGTCTACTGAATTAGCACAACTTGAGTGCGAGCAATTAAGGCTCCAAGAACCCTTTTGAGCAGCCAGCAGCTCTGGGAAAACCGTTGGGTGCATTCAGAAATGTTGACAAGGCTCTGTCTGAATTAAATGTGGCTTTTCCAGTTTTTATTGGAGAGCATTGCTCCCTGATGCTTTGGGTCATTAGTTCCTGGACAACGTTTGCAGAGTGGGTTTTGTGCCTGCAATTTGCCTACCTTGGTGCAGTTACACCTCCTCCTACCTGACAGAAGAAAATTCCTATGGATCAAAAGGATCTGCCTCACCCATCACTCTGTCTCTGACAGTGGCCTGTGGCAGACAAAATGCCTACACACACACACAGCAGGGTCTCCCTTGCATGCTCTGTCATGCTGCAAAGGTCTCTGTCACAGCCACCTTGTGTTTCACAGCTCTTCCTTCACCTTCCTCTCTGTGGACTGTTCTTTGGACTCTCAGTAGATGGTGAGCACTACCTCTGGGCAGCTTTCCTCCTCGGTTTTGTAGTAACATGCTAAATACAAAATCAAGCAAATGGCATCAGCTTTTGTGCTTCTCAATCACCGGTGACCATCCTAAATTGCATACAGAGTTTCTCTCCTCAAAACTAAAGGTAGTTGTCATCTAATTTCGTATCACAACACTGAAATCCCAAACCACCCTACAGAATCACTGGCCACACTGCTGCTCCTAGAATGGCATGTCGCTCCTTCCTCCCGACTGAAGTTACTCTCCCATCCATCTCCACATCCGATCTGAAAGATGGCATTTGTACAGAAGGAAAGGCCTGCACTGGAGATTTTGGGAGGCAGGAAGCTGCTGATGCATGCACGTGCACTGCAGCAAAGTGCTTTGGAAAAGGATGAGCACCTGGGAGCAGGTCCTTCCCCGTGTGCACCATGCAGAGCGGGATGCACAAGGCAATTCTCCACCGCTCACAGCGCCCTGAGCCCTCCGCTCACCCTCCCCTTGCAGACAGCTGCTGCACAGCTGGGAAAGGCAGACACTTGCCAAGCATCACTATGTTGAGCGCAACTGAATGCCAGAGCCTTCATTAATAATGTTCATCAGCAGAAGACACCATGAAAATTAAAGGGGAAAGGAACAGAAACAACTTCAAAGGCAGGTCTCAGCCACAGGCCGCCTAGCTGGGTACTGGGTGGGATGAAAAGCCTCAGGAACAATGGGGATGCCGGGATCAAAGGCACCTTCACTGCAGAGCTCTAATTGTACCTGTCCAAATAAGCCTTCACAATAGTCTAACACTGCTCTGTGGCTGCATCTGTGAAACAAAATGTCAAACCCCACTGAAAAGCACCATACAAAAGATGTTCCTTTTCCTCCCAAGTGAGCATGGCAGCACATACATGCTGTCACGGAGGTAAAGAGGATGACAATGGCATAGTTTATACAGAGCCAGGCTGAGTTAGATTTATATTTTGTCTTATCTAGCTTTGCCCATCCTTCTGCTGTTCCTAAACAATTTTCATCACTGCGTTATTTGAGCACCTTGCATCTGCACTCTGCAGCATGTATAGAGGGGAAAGACACCTCCCTTGCCCCGGTGCCCTACAAGGGATGTGAACATCCCGTGAACAGGGATGCCGTTCCCTGCTGCTTTGGGAGGGGTGTTGGCGACCAAGCCTGTTGGCTCCTTTTTAGGGGAAACCCTGAGGTTTTGAGGCTGCCTGCTGAGAGGTCTCTTCTCCCAAGTAACAAGCAATAAAACAAGAGGAAATGGCCTGAAGTTGTGTCAGGGGAGGTTTAGATTGGATATTAGGAAAAATTTCTTCACCAAAAGGGTCGTCAGGCATTGGAACATGCTTCCCGGGGAAGTGGTTACGTCACCACCCCTGGAGATACTTAAAAGGTATTTGTAGGGACGTGGTTTAGTGCTGGACTTGGCAGTGGCAGGTTAACAGTCATACTCAATGATCCTAAAGGTCTTTTCCAACCTAACTGACTCTATCCCTGTCCCCTCCCTGCGGTGGGGACCCTGTCTCTCAGGCTGGTGGCTCTGCTGCCCAGGAAAAGGCACTTGGGGTCAGGATGCCCTGCGGCCTCATCCCACGGAGGGATGTAGAGAGGAAGAGTGAAGCAATTCAATTTGACCTGTTCCTTGAATGAGTTGCTCTGATCCTAAAGGCAGTGGGGTTCAACTCGCACATAAACATTTCACAGTAGCCAATACAACAAATTCACGGGTGAACCGAGCCACCCACTCAGCAGCTGGAAAGGCACCAGGGCAGGCTCTTCACACCACATCCCTCCAGCAAGGAGTACCCTTGCTGCTACCTCCCCAGCGGTGGCAGCACCCAGGTGCCACGCAGCAGGGCAAGCCGGGTGCCCCAAATTGCTGCTGACTGCTGAAGGCACACTGCTCCCCCCAGGAGGGGTACAGGCGGTTCTGTGGGACTGGGGGGAGGAGGGAGCTTGAGGGATGCCAGAGAGAAGGGCTCTGGAGGTTGGGAGAAATGATGACTTTCACCATACAGCTAGGACAGAAACAGCTGCAGAAACCTCTATGCTCTTCCTTAGCAGCAAGATTTTCTGTGTTGAAGAGAAAATTCCTACAGCTGCAAGGAAGTTGTAACTCTCAAGTTATAACTGGCCAAGTTTCATGCTTCGGAGAGGAAGACCAACAGTGAACTTCAGCTGGGTTTTGCTAAGCAATGACAACCAGAGTGCAGGAATGTGGGTTTGGGTGGAAGGGAGATTTGTCCTTGCGAGGCAGGTATTGGCAGTCTCCTTTAGTAAGAATCCCAGATGTTTTCCTCTCATTTGGACTCATGAAGCAGGAGAAGGACCATAATAGCAGGTGAAGAGTTAGATCTGCTCTGTGCTCCCAGACATCTTCCTCAGGGAACAAGCTTATTGCCCAGTACAGAGATCTCCATCCCTTCCAGCCTCGTCAGCTGCACAGAGCTGTGCAAGTGGACAGACACTGAAGAGAATTGCCCACCTCAGGTCTTCTTTGGTGCAGAGATTTTGCAGTTTACTCAGCAAAATAAACTCTGGAAATGCCAAAGGTGGCCAGCACTGAGCCACATTTCATCAGATGTTGCCCTGCTTGAAGACTGCGGAGTGGCTTTGGCTTCAGCCAGGAAGCAGGGCAATGTTTTAAGCCCACTTTTTCCATCTGGTATTCACAGGCAACCCTGCCCTGAAGTGGTGGCATCCTGATCTGCATCGTTTAACTTGTCTGGCCACAGCCCAGGGCTCTGCACAGAGACCAGCAGGTCAGGAATACAGACTGACACTTGTCTATGGAGCTTTTGCTGCGATAATAGTTTTGGAAGCATTTGGGAGACCTCTCCAAAGAGTATTTCTCTTGTGCCTTGCATTGCTCCCCCAGGGAACATTAAATAGGCATATGCATCACTGGGGGTGCAGGAAGGATGTTCATCTGGGCTATGTTTCTGTACATCTGCCTTTTGAATAACCCATCATCAAGGAGGAATATTTGTTAATTATTCAGCCTCAGTAATTCAAAGCTGTTAATAATGTAAGTAGTGGATATTGCTGTAAATTAAAATCAATGGTTTGCATAACATCTTTGATCAAATCTGAGTGCTCTGGCTTCCAAGCATGCTACCCTGTTTAATAAAGCAGAGATTGATGGGTTTGCTATTATGAGGAAATGAGATCCAGACAAAATGATTGTTGGTTACTAGGAATATAGAAATCACTTAAGGAAAAAGGTGAAATACTGATGTGGAATGAATGCTGAAAACCCATATATGGACACATTTAAAAGGCTCTTCTGTATATCATTAATGTGATAAAAAAATGTGTAATTATTTTTTCAAGCTCCATTTCTACTTTCCTGTAAACACTCCAACTTCCCTAAATGACCTCAAGTGTTTTTGCTTATTTTATGCAGCAATTAAGCTGCACAGATCAGTCATGTTGGTAAGGCCACGCACACTGCCCCTCTGGATTTTGTTACACATGTCACACTCTGACCTCCCCACCACCACAGTGGGAAGAAGTCACAAACAGCTCCGTGCTGAGAGCACCTTGGGCACTGCACAGACACTCCAGCTGGAGTGAGAGATAGAAAAGGGAGTGAGGGTTGAATAAATAACTTTGCTTTTGGAGGCAGAGGAGCGCAGCTGATAAAAAGGAGGCTGGATGGACCATTTCCAAGCTGGAAAGGAATAGCTCTGCCTGCAGAGGTAACCTGGACCATCTCCTGGAGGTATCTAGGGACTGTAGTGAACATTTCGTAACAAGGGATGTAGGTAATTCCCACTAAAGAAGATAAAAAGCTTGGAGCCGTAGTAGCCTAGAAGACAGCTTTCTTCTTGATTTAACAGTGGCCTCAGCATATGGGGAATATATGGAATAAGGTCCGCTTTGTTTTCATCAAGCCATGGCTTTCCCTCTGTAGCTGCAGCTGACATGATATTTCATGTACATCTTTAACTAAAAATAAGCTGTCATTTGCCTCTCCCACTTTCTACTCCCCTGATTATTCCTGGGCATAAAATCAGAGGCTGAGCGTTACACGCTTAAAAAAATCAAGATAGGTTATTTTATGAGTAAACCTAACAATGCATGTCTCTGTATAGAAAGATGACAATAGGGAAGATATTATTTGATCTATGGCTTTCCAGTTGTTACCATATTCTTTTCTACAGCCAACTAAAAGTATTAATAATCACAAATCAGCATTAATCCAGAACCATATGATTTCTTCTAATGCCATCAAATGCTACGCTGCCTGTGCTGCTTCGCTTCAGGCTGTGCAGATGGCAGGACAACTTCTAACAGATTCAAATCAACTGTGTACTTCACTTCTGGTCTAGAAACAGATAGAAATTAATTAAAGTATTGACAAGCCAGAAATAAACAGTATTCCATATATCAAAATAACTCAGTCATACAGTTAGAGTGCTTTCTTTTTTTTTTTGCAACCAAATAAATTATGGTGGTGGGGCAGGTGGGAAGGGATGAGGTTTTCTCCTTTTACGCTAGCTGGAACCTCAGAAAAGTTCTGCAAACCAACTGACTTCTACTAATGGTGTGGGGCTGAAAATGAACCATGTTACTGCAAACAGACCCAGCCCAAGTGGGATCACGAACAATGAAACTAGGACTTGCAGGCCACCTCCTCCTCCTGGACAAAACTACAGATGACATCACCAATCCTGCACCTCCACTCCACACATCTCCTGGAGGCTGAATGCTGCAGCACTTCAGAGAATTAAGTGTTTTAAGCAGCTGATAATACTGATTAAAATCAATTGTCAAGATGAAGCAAAGAAGACAGGCTATTTAAATGTTTTTAGAATTGCGGTGTGTGGGCTGTGCAGTCAACCGGTGCGTGCGAGGAGCGTGCTCCCATCTGGGAGGGGGGCGCGTGCTGGGGCTGCCAGACGCTCTGGGACCTCAGGAGACACAGGGGCCAGAGCAATGGCTCCAGCTCAGCACACACCTCAGGCTTTTGGACTGCCCAGATTCAGGCTGGCAGGCAAAGCACGAGGGCTCCAAGTAACAAACTCAGGAAAAAAGATTTCTGCCGGTCCACAGGATTTCCTAGCTTACACCACCTTGCCTTTTGTTCTTGCCTTTTCTGGATGGAAATTGGATCAGGGGCTGAAAACTGATCCTGAACTACGCAATGTTTTATCATGATCTTCACACAGATGAAGGTCTGAGACCTCAAGGAGACAGCAGTTTGCAGCTACACAGGAAACGTGAGAGTGAGGCAGGAAACAAACCCAGACCCTGCAAGCCTCTGGGCACTGCCTAAACTGAGGACCTCTCCCCTTGCAGGGAAGTTAGACAGGAGCACAGCAGCCACGACCTTCTCTACTGTTCATACGATGAAGGATGAAACCCTGGCTCTGCTCCTTCCCAAGCAGCAGATCAAGAGTTGTGTAATTTACACCCACGTATGAACGGATATTGCTGTGAGGCTGATGCGTGTAAGTACAATCCTTAAAAACCATTAGACTGTCACCTAAAATATAAGATAAAATTAACTTACCAAATCAGCATTAGATTAGGATCATGGTATTTATGGAGAGGAAGGGCAGCTGCTGCAATTACTCTGGGATCCACTAACTACCACCACATGAGAGCTCTTGTGCAAAGCCCTGTGCAGTCACAAATCGCAATCTTACACATCTACCTGGAGTTTGCAGGACCTTGGCACTGTGTTTTGTTCCATACAATATATGTTCAATATTTAAAATCTTACTCCCAATGCCCCTTCACATGCTGAGTATTCCTCTCTTATTTTCACATAAATATACTAACGAGTCAGCTTATTTTAAGGAGGTTACTAAATACTCTATATGGGGAAAAAAAAAAAATCAGATCTCTGCCTTAGGCATAGGTAGGAATTTAGGCACATTACAAAGTGCAGCAGAGATGTTGTAACAATCATTTCTGCTTTGTGAATGCTGAATAAAACCAAAGATCAAACACACCTTTAATCAGAAGTTTCTTGATGAGTTTCTAATTAGAATTGCTCCTGAGAAGTAAGTCCACCATATCCACCAACCTATATGTCAGTTTAATAAAGAAGATGAAAGAAGCACAAAAATAAACCTGACTTTTGGTGCATATTCCATCTTAATAATGTGATTATCTTCTGTTTTCCAGATAAGTGCCTATCTCATGTCATACAGAAGTCTTAGAGCAGGCTGCGTGTTCAAATGACAAATACAACATAGCTATGCTCAGGAGAGCTGATTTAACAAAGCACCTTATTTCCCAGCAGCATTCCCATGAATTGTCATTCATTTCACTTCCATATTCTATAAACGTTGAAGACAGCCTATTATGTATTTTTGAACAAGAATATTTGTAATTCAGTCATTGTATAAAATATTACCTTACAGAGACACAGCAATGTCACCATTACATATCCACGTACAACTGTCTCAAGTTGATCTCAGCAGTTTAGAAACAGGGAGTAACTTGATGCAGAACTGTGACAAAACCTCCTCTGGCATGGGAGTGAGCTGGAAAAGTCAAGATTTAGACTCATGAGAAACAAGGAAACATGAGCCTAAATCTGAGTGCCCAGATTTCTCTGAGAAATGTGTGATGACTTCTGCAACAACCAGGTGCCAAACTAGGATGCACTCTTCAAGAGTGAGCTGCTGCTGGGCTAAAAGCATTTATTTCCCAGTCTTATTATAACTTTTCCCATAAAATGAAAAAGTCCTGCCCTATCCACACACACCTGTTTCCCCAGTGATAACTTTATCAAAACACCATAGTGGCTGTTCTTGGTTGTTACTGGTACTCCTGTACTAAGTTCTCTTTTTCAAAGCAGGGAAAACCTGTGTGCCCATCTTTGCTGAAAGCCTAGAGGTTGCAAGACTTTCAAATCAAAAAGCAAGAAGGCCCTGTTCTGCTCTTACAAGGAATATTTACAACCAGAGAAATACTGTTAAATGAGAGGCATTCAGTCAAAATTGGTGGAAGAGCCCTTGTATCAGGCTGCACATCAAAATATCCAGGCTGTGTACTTTTCCCACTGCTTGTTTACACCTTGGACAATAAAAGACAAATACAGCTATTGGCTGTCTAACTTCTAATATTTCCTGGATAGTTTCCCAGTTTCAAGAATCTAGAGGAATGAAAGAGTTGTTTCTTGTTACCCCTGCTAATGGAAGACTTGGCACAGACAAGATAATACATTGATTTCTGGAATACATTTTGAGAGACCCCATGGCTCTGAGCCACATGAAACCAGTCCCCAGCTCATTCATTCCCAGACAGTAGCAGGAGGTACTTCCACTTCTTTTTCAAAAGACAACATAGGACTCTATATCCCACTGAGGCTTTCTAAGGCACAGCATGGTGGAGCTCACCCATTCAGCTCCCAAGGTGTGTGCCCCTTGAAGCACTGGACTGAGTGACTGCCTTGTGTCCCCAGGGAATGGCGTGTCTCCTTAGTCCCTTATCCAGTGCCACAATTCCTGCACTGCCCAACCAGTTTGCTGTACCCTGACACAAAACACATCAGTCAACCAGGGAAAGTCATCTTTGAGATGTCATGCATTTCCAACTCAGCTACCTCAATTTGAGCTTTACCATAAAGAACAGTTTGCTAAAGCTAGTTCCAGAAGTGGCAGCCAGAAACATTCTGTCCCCAGGGTATGTGTTCATCAGCTCGTTTTTTTATGAACCTCACTCTCGTACTTAGACTCCAGCTAGGTGTCCTTTCTAACCAAGGACATGGGAAAGTCCTTCATTCCAGAACAAAGCACTTACATTTCTTGTTTTATTTAAACTTCCTTTTACATCCCCAGCTAAGTGCATGTTCTGAATACTCTCCACAAAAGCCTCATCCCATTCCTCACTTCAAATAAACAAGAGAGGATGTGAACCTGGGCAAGCAGAGGACAGAGGAAAAGCAAACAGTTGGGGCTGCTTTGTAGATGTTAAGTGCAGACATTCAGCCCAGATGCAACCCAGATCCCACCCAGGAGTCACTAGCAGCACATTTCTCCAAAGCCAGCCTAAGAAGCTCTGGAAGTGTTTGTTCAGTTGTGATTTCCTTTGGCTAACAAGTGCAAGAGCTT